GAGCACCATCTTCACCATCCTCTTCACCCAACTCTAAAATGGAGACAAAGACTTGGCATTATATATTATTATCGTTGTTAAGTGTCATTAGGTAGTGACTTTATAAACAAAATGCCTTAACCCTGTTCTATAACTATTGTCCTTTGTCTAAGTTCATGGAGTTTCCAAAGGTATGTTTAGAAAGTGCGTGCCACTCCTTCAAGTTCTTTTGTGTTGGATGGAGATTGGATATGACCTGGTTACTTGGTGGTCAGTGTGTGATAGAAGCCTCTTGATGGAACCAATGAGAGACTGGTGTGTAGCCTGGGGTTTTTAAAAAATTCATTTGGTTTTAATTGTGTTTGAAATGGACATTTTGCTATGTGGTACAGCACTGCTCTGTAATTTCGCTGTACTCAGGTAACTTGGGATTACTGTGATACTGAATGGTGTGCCAGTGATGCATCAAATGCCATAATAGTTACACATGATTGACAATGTTTGGTAGATATCACAGATTAAGAGAAGCCATTTAAAATAGCCAACCACAAATTGAGATACTTGAGAATAAACCTAACTAGAGATAAAAAAGACCTATACAAAAACCTACCGAATATTTCTGTAAGATATGGTAAAAGATCTAAAGAAATGGAATAATGTGCTGTGTTCACAGACAAGAAGACTCAATATTGTGAAGATGACAATCCTACCAAAAGCAATCTACATGTTCAACACAAACCCAATATAGACACCAAATTAATTTTTCAGGAGATTGAAAGGAAAATTATTGTATTTATTTGGGAAAGCAAGAGACCCAGAATAAGGAAAACACTTCTGAGAAAGAAAAATGAAATGCGAGGCAGAACACCCCCTAAACCTCAAAATTTACTACGCAGTGGTAATAAAGAAACGTGCATGGTACTGGTACAATGACAGGCACATAGACCAACGGAACAGAACTGAGAACTCGGAAATAGACCCAGTTGTCTATGGTCAACTGATAATTCGACAAGAAAATAAAACCTATCAAATGGGGAAATGACAACCTTTTCAATAAATGGTGCTGGCCAAACCAGATTGTTACCTGCAGAAAGCTCAAACAGGATCCACATCTAACATCATACACAAAAACGAGCTCAAAGTGGATCAGAGACCTGGGAATAAAGGCCAAATCATACTGGAAACAAGATTAGATGGCCTAGTCTATGGTACAAAGAGACTGCCAAATATAGCCCGAAATGCACAATCTGGAGAGAATACAATTGAGAAATGGGACCATCTAAAGATTAAGTATCTGTGTACGTCAAAAACATTCTCCAACAGAGTGAAAAGAAAACCTACTGACTGGGAAAAAACATTTGGCAATACCATCTTAGACTTGAGTATCATATCAAAAGTTTACAGAATACTTCAGGGCCTCAACAAGAAAAAGACTGACAACTCAATTACAAAATGGGCAAAAGATATGGAAAGGTTTTCACAAAGGAAGTATTCAAATGGGAAACAGATACATGAAGACATTTTCAAAATCACTAGCAATAGGAGAGATGCAAATCAAACTCACAATGAGGTACCATCTCACTCCAGTAGCAGTTGGCAAAGTTCAATGTGGGAGAGGATGTGGCTAAATAGGAACTCTAATACATTGTTGGTGGGATTGTAAAATGGTACAGCCACTCTGGAAGGCAGTTAGACATTTTCTCAGAAAGCTGAAAATAGAAATTCTATATGATCCAGCTTGAAATATACCCAGAGAAAATGAGAATTGAGGCACAAACAGAGACTTGTACACTAATGTTCATAGCAAGTACATTCACCACAGTATGAACATGCAAACAGCCCAAACGTCCAACAACAATTAAATGGATTGAGTAATTATGGGACATTTACACAATGGAATACTATATGCAGCATGAAGGAACAATGATTTTGTAAATTACTATCTAACTTAGGAGGAACTGCAAAGTATTATGCTAAAAGAACTAATTCAGTCTCATAAAGAAAAATATTGTATAAGACCATTATTGTAAAACAAGGTAAGAGCATCCAAGGGGGTTAAGGGTGGAAGCAGATGGTGGCTAATCATGGGGTCACACAATTTGATGGTTGGAGGGGGAGGAGAAGGCACTGGGAAGGATCAGGTATGAAAAACAATATATTCAAACGGTATAAATAAAACAGTATACAATAAAGAAGAAAAACAGAAAAAGATTAAAAAGCAAGTGTAAGGATGGCTCAGGATAGAAGAGAGTTCAGATCTTTTGTTCATAGTGTTGCTATGAATTGTATTCAACTCCACAACAGCGATGATAAACTATATAACATTATTTTACTCCAAAACCCTAGTAGTAAGTCACCTCATTTACTAAATTCCAGTCGAAACGGTTATTTGGAGCATTCGTACAAGCTTTTAACCTCTAGGAGTACACAGATTGCTGTTGTTTTCCCCATAAAAATTTTCGCTCTTTTCTCTTTTAACTCCCAGGCTAATGTAACTTAAACACTTCTTTTTTCATTGTTACCTTCCCAATCTTTGCTCTTTAGCCATACACAATTATTTTTCCATACACTCTCTCACTTATTGAATGGTATGCTTATAACTGTTTTGTTTGTTTTTCATGTTTTAGTTGATATTTTAACCAGAGAATACAGAACACTTGGATTTCCGTTCATTCACTGTTGCATGTTTCCTCCCAATGTCCTCCCACTCAGTTCGCTTTTCTCTTTAAAAAGATTCTTTCATTGTTGCACAATTTCCTCCTTCCCCTGCACCTCTTATTCTGGACTGTTATAATGCAAATTATACCTAATCATGTATTTCTTTAGCTGGACAATGACCAGGAGGTAGAAGGAGAATTGATGCTTTTGAGCTTTGGTGTTGGAGTAGAGTGCTGAGAAATGGACTGCTAAGAAAACAAACAGATTCATCCTGGATAGGGTTGAACCGGGCTGCTCCTTGGAGGCAAGGATTCTGAGACTTCGTCTGACATACTTTGGTCATGTTGTAAGGAGAGACCGCTCCTTGGAGAGGGATATCATGCTTGGGAAGGTGGAGGGCAGGCGCAGGAGGGGAAGGCCCTCTGGGAGGTGATTTGGTGACTGAGGCAATCGGGATGAGTGTGTCGGAGACAATGAGATTGGCACAGGACAGAGCAGAGTTTAGAGCTGTTGTACATAGGGTCTCTATGAGTCACAAGGGACTCGGTGGCACATAACAACAACAACAAGTATAAAATGTACGTTTTCTTTTGTTTCATTTATTTTTCCCACCAGGCAAATCTTAATGAAATTAGGTTACCCGTGCTTGTCAACAACAAGTATAAAATGTACGTTTTCTTTTGTTTCATTTATTTTTCCCACCAGGCAAATCTTAATGAATTTAGGTTACCCGTGCTTGTCTCTCTGCTCTCAATCTTGTATCTATGATAGTGCATTTTATTTAAGCAAATTCATAAAAGAAAGAGCAGTCTTCCAAAGTATATCTCTCTGATGTGAGCAATAGAACTCAATGGAGACAATTCTATCATAAATTTTTCATGTTTAGATTAACTCTTTTTTATTGACCATACATTTCCATGATAAGAACTGTTTCTTACTGACCCAAAGTTGCAAAATGATAAGAAGAAGACTTTTTTATTAAAAAAAAGGAGAAGTTCTGAAAAATTTAGTTGTTAGGACAAGAAGCCTTTCAGAAAGTAAATTTTTATAGATTAAAAATGAAGTAACTAAAAAAAAACCAAGGAAAAAAAATAAAGCAACTGGAGAGGTATTGTGTGGTTTAGTATTTGGGGTTTTTTTTTGCAATTGTTTTGTTTTTTTATTACCTTTAAAATGAAGAAGTAGATTAGATAATTTGTTGGTTTTCTTTCTTTTTTTTTTTTTATATTTGCTGGTTTTCTTATATTCAACATTGTAGAATTCTATTTCATAATTTTGCCCAGAACCAGAGGTATAGGTCACCTATAGACTTTGTTCTGCCTTAGTTAAAAGTGTATAAAAGGTAGTGTCTTATGAACACCCATGTTTATTGTGGCTTTGTTCACAAAAGCAAAGATTGGAAACAACCTAAGTGCCCATCAACAAATGAATGGATAGAGAAGCTGTGGTATATTCACACAATGGAATACTATGATGCAGTGAAAAACAAAGAACTCATGAAATATTCTTCAAAATGGATGACTCTGGAGTACATTATGCTGAGTGAAATATCTCACTCACAAAAGGACAAATATGCAAAGTGCCACTGTTGTAAAACAGGACTGACATCGGAGGGAGACTGATAAAGAGGGGATTAATTATGTATATTGTATTGAAACAGATGAGGAGGAGAATTGTTTAAAAGGGGTATATGATTAGGTATTATTATTATGACAGGAGTCTAGAATGAAGGCTGCATGCGGAGGAGGGGGATTGCATAACAATGAAAGAATTTTTCTTTTACTTTTCAAAGAGAAGAGCGAACTGGGGGTGAGGAGAGAAGATTGGGCAGGGGATAAAGTGCAACAATGAATGAATGGAAATCCAAAGTGTCTGTAAACTTTCATTAAAATTAATTAATAAAAAAGTATCAATTAAAAAAGACAATCTCTTGGAGGCAAAGATCAAATCTTAATCTGGGAAGAAGAAAAGAAAGAAAAGGGCAAGTCCCAGTCATATGTCCCAATCCTGGAGTGTGAGATTCTGCAGCTCCACTTCTGTCTGCCAGATGATACTCGACAGTGGGCTCAGTGTGAGGAAAAAGAATTCTATTGAAGTAACATGTCACAAGTAAAATATATTTATTAAAGAACAAGACAAACACCAATGAAGGTACATTCTGTTGTTTTTCTCATGAATATATCCTACTTCTATTTCATGCAACTGAAGCCTTTCAGATACATATTTGATGACACAGGATACTATCCATCTAAGTCCTTGGATCAAGTCCTGTCTTCTTTGGTTCCTGCACATTCAGATGCAATGAATGATTAGATGAATAATAATGTATTCACCTCAAGTGCCTAAGTCTTGTCTTCTCCATATCATACTTTACAACCTAACCAGCTGTTACTCTTCTCACGCTTTGTCACCATCTTGGTATTAGGGTCAAACTCAATCTGTAATGGTCCACTGAAGAAATAAAACAATCCTGAAATACAGTGGAGATAATAATGAGACATTCTTTCAGCAAACCACTTTTATGACATACATAACTTAGAATAAGAGTAAGTTAATAATGAGAACATTTACTGGCTGGTCACTCTGTCCTACACTAAGTGTTATTTATACATGCTTTATCTCATTTATTCTTACAAATAATCTTAGATGGTACTAATGAAGTAAGTACAAATTCCAGAAATTTATGGTAGTTTGAATATTCTTCCCAAAGATAATGTCACTAATGAAAGTTAAAGGGAAGCTTAAGCTCCTCTTTATCTGACTTCAAAGTCATTGCTATGAAATACTAGATGACACTGTCTCCAAAGAGATAAAGTTTACATTTTTTTAAAAACATCTTTATTTTGTCCTCTTTCTCCTAATGTCTTGCTCCTTCTATTCTAACCATGTCCTAAATCACAACTTGAAAGGCAACTAAACCCAAGAAAATGAAAAATTGCTAAGATCACAAGTTCCTTGAGCATTATGAATTTCAAGCCATAGTATCCCTATTCATTTCTTCCAGGAAAAATAACGACAAATTTTTCCTTATCAATAATCATATTTGTTTTAATTTTAGTTTAGTGATTTGCGTTTTTTCCCCCTCATTTATATACATTGAATTTCACATCTTTATTCACATTGTGTTTCATATTATCATTCTCTTTTTTTTAATAATTTTTTTATTTTTTATTTTTTTACAGAGGTTTTGGATTTCCATTCATTCACTGCCGCAATTTTCTCCCTTCCCACCCCTCCCCACCAGCTCGCTTCCCCCTCCGAAGAGAAAAAAAAAAAAAGAAAAAAAAAAAAATTCCTTCATTAGTATACAATTCCCACGTCCCTTCCCCCCAGCCCCCACCCCTAGTACACTTCTCTATGCAACCTTAATTCTGGATTCCTGTGCTAACCATAATACTCAGTCATATATCACTTCTAATTTGTTCTTTCCCTCATCTGTTTCAATACAATATACATAACTGGATAAATTATCATTCTCTTAAAGAAACAGATGGGGGAGGAATTAGAGTAGAAACAAAGGTGCAGTTTTTCAAAGATCATTAGTTTCCATATGTAGAAAATCTAGAGAAAACAAGAAGTTATAAAAATAAAGCATAATTTAATAACTTTATTGATATCATGATTAACACTTATACCAATGGACAACTAGATTGAAAAAAAGTGTTAAAGATAATTCAAGTAAGAAAATGTTGTTGTTGTGGTTGTTGTTAAGTGCCGTCGAGTCGCAGGCAACTCATAGCAACCCTATGAAGGAGAGTCCTTGATGCTAAGAAAATGTTACTCTACTAATAAAGTCATGTTGAAAGACACAGAAACTGCCTTGCAGAAGCTTCCACATTGAAATTTGAGAAAAAGAACAATGGGTAAAATATTGTTACAAATAAATTAATAAATATAAGGGATGAGGATTTGCAGGGGAGGGGAGATTAATCACGGAGTTGTACAATTTGGTGAGCGGGGGGGTGAGGAAAATTGGAAGAATCTGTTCTGGAAAACAATGTATTTGAATTTTGTACATAAACCAGTGTAATAAAAAAACAAACAAACTATTCCTTATATTCAAGCGCTTGCTGTAGAAGGTCAAGGACTGCAGCCTTCAATATGGATTGAAGCTCAATATCAAGAAATCAAAGATTGTCACCAATGGGCCGATTGGCAGCATCATGATGGATGGTGAAGAGATTGAGATTGTAAACAGCTTTAGTTTGCTTGGCTCCACAATCTACACTGTTGGCACAGGCAGCCAGGAAATTAAAAGACGTATTGCGTTGGGAAAGTGTGCTGTCAGAGACCTCTCCAAAGTATTGGAACAGAATGATGTCAGTCTGGAGATTAAGGTTTGCCTGAAAGAGGCCAAAGTGTTTGCAATCGAACATACCGTAAACTTCTAAAAGAATGAACAGGTTCATCCTGGAGAGGATTAAGGCAGTCTGCTCCTTGGAGGTAAGGGTTCTGAATCTTTATCTGACATACTTTGGACGTGTTACAAGGAGGGACATCATGCTTGGGAGGTTGGAGGGACAGCACAGGAGAGGAAACCCTCGATGAGGTGGATTGATTCGGTGACTGGGGTAATCAGGGTGGGTGTGTCAGAGACAGCAAGATTGGCACAGGATAGAGCAGGAGTTAGGGCTGTCGTACATAGGGTCACTATGAGTCGCAGGCAACTTGATGGCACATAACAACAAACTAATCCTCAGGGCAAAACAAGATACACAGCAAAACTCAAGGCAGTTTTTGATAGAAACAAAAGTCACTGTTACATTATAACCTCTTTACTAGTAGGAAAGGAAGGATATGTTTAGCTCCTTTTTAATTGTCTCTTCTATCAAAATTTGTTGTTGTTGATTGCTGTGGAGTACTACTCATGGCGACCCTCTGAACAAAAGGCCTGAAGCCTTACTGTAATTATCGTCATTTATCAAAGTTCATAGAGTTTCCAGAGGCATATTGTTTAGGATGTGGATGCCACTCCTGCTTCCTGTCTTAAACTGGGAACTACTACAAACACTGTTCACCATGGGTAACCGTTAAGGCATCTGACACCCCAGTGACACAAGGTTCAGCATCACTGCAACACTAGGACCCTCAGTACAGCATACTGACAGAAGAGTGCTGTACCACTTAGAAGAATGTTACTCCAAAGTATAATAACAACCTACTTTTAAATACAAAGGCCTTCTCCAAGGTCTTGTTGACTCTAAACATGAGGCTTAAATTTAAAAAAAACACCACAAACCCCAAACAAAACCCCCCAATATCGTATGTTTTTGTTGTTATGTGATCTTGAGTCACCTGTGACGTATGCCAACCCTATGTACAGTAGCTCTGAACTCTTCACTCTCCTGAGCCAGTTCTCACTAATTCTGATACATTAAGGTTCCATTGCCCCAGTTACTTAGCAATCCATCTCACTTGGGGTCTCCCTTTCCTCTATACTTCTAAGCATGATGTTTTTCTCCAAAGACTGGTCGGTCTCTCCTGGCCACATGCCCAAAGTATGTGAGATGGAGCTTCAAAGCCCTAGATCCAAGGAAAGACTTGGTTTCACCCTCTCCAACACAGACTGATTTGTTTTCTTGGTCCATGGTATGTTCAAGGCTCTTCTCCAGCGTGACAACTCAAAGGCATCTATTCTTCTTATGTCATCCTTAGTCATTGTCAAGCTCTCTGAAGCATAACAAGTAATCTAGAAGACCATGGATGGTCTTGATTAGGCACACCTTTATCTCTAGATTGATGTTGTTTTTCAGTACTCTGGAGAGGTCCATGACAGCAGATTTTCACAGTGCAATTCGTCTTTTGATTTTCTTAATGCTGGTGTTAAGGGTTTTGATTGTGGATCCGAACAAGCTGTAATTACAAGCTAACAACCTCAAACTCTTCTCCATCTATCATGGTGCTGCCAATTAGCCCAGTGGTAAGAATCTTTTGTCTTCTTGATGTTGAGTTTCAATCCATATTGAAGACTACAGTCCTTGACCTTCTGCAGCAAGTGCTTCTGGTCTTCGTCAGTTTCAGCAAGCAAGGTTGAGTAATCTGCATGTCATAAGTTGTTGATGAGTCTTCCTCCAATCTTAATGTCACACTCCTACTCATAAAGCCCTGCTTCCCAAATGATCTGTTCTGCTTACATATTGAAAAGGTATGGGGACAAGATGCATCCCTGACACACTCCTTTACTGATTTTGAACCATGCAGGGTTTCCCACAAGGAGATACCTGTCACAATATGGTTCATTTTTAGGTACATCTGTTACATCAAATAAGGATATTACTATGTTAAATTCTTAGTAAGAATAATGATCTACACATTAGATTTACTATACTTAAAATTAAGTACATTTCCCCCATATTATATTTTCTCCATTCCACTCTTCTCTTTCCGTTTAAAAATTTTTACTCTGTACCATAGTTCCAAAGACAGGACAGAATCCTGTCGTTCAAGGAAAAATAAGGAAAGGTATTCATAGGACTTGGAAAGAAACAGCACAATGACACAAGGACAGCTGTAGCAATCTCAGACACCAGTGCAAGCAGGCTGAAATACAGGGTGCACAGTGGTAGCTGAAGTCCAGGATGTGTTCAGAGACTCAAAGATGGGAGATTGTCCTAATATACTTGGGAAGCAAATCACTTATAGCACAGATGTAGATGGGATAAGTAACATTTCTCTGTGATAAATTTTAAAAGTTCTTTGAAAAGGTTTACAGATCTCTGAAAATGCTGAATTTTAATGTTGCACAAGTAATCCCACAAAAGTCCCTTCCAGAGTAATTTTATAACCAATGAGAATCTTAGGTGAAAAAAACCAAATATCCACATAAATCAGACCTATACACTGTAAATGAAAAAAGTACCAGTATCAAGTTTCTGGAAGGACCACAGCAGGAAAGACTATTCAACAAGAAGATTCTCATCCTTGTCGTCAGCCAGAGGGTTAGCTGGCTCTATTACCACTCCAGCCACTCTTCACTGCTCCACGTCCTTCTCAGGTTTTTCCTTAAGAGTCTTTTTCTTCTCTTGGATTTTCTTTAACCATGTTTAAGAGCATTTAAATGCCAGTTGGTTGTTTTAATAGCTTACTGTAGAGTAACAAATGAAGGCTGCAATGAAGAGTGTTCCACCAATAATTCCACTGCTTTGGCATAACTTGTCTTTGACTTCACGTACTGTTCCCCACCTCTGGCTAACCCAGTCAGCTCATAACTGTCAATTCCTGGTAATGTTCAAATACTGGCAAAGTAACGCTTGCTACATTATCTTCTTTGTGTAAACCTTCACCTGGGCTTTGTTCACGTTCTGGAATACTGTGGTTATAAGTCCCCAGCTGTGAACTTGGCTTCAGCTAGTGAAAAGAAAGCTTCTCTCATCATTTCTCCCATCAACATTTTAGTCTCTATAGGTTCTATTGAAGTCAAAGAGTCAAAGCTTCAAGACTTTTTCTTCAATAGGTTTCGGCCTGTCTGTTCACATTTCAATGGAGCCTTCATGAAAGTCTGTCCCATTTAAGAGGGACAGATTTCAATTCAGTCTTTGCTGATATTTTGACGATGATAATTCTGGTCAGATACCCAGCCTAACAATCAATAGTGGCTTCACCGGCTACAGTTCCTGAAGCCACAAACCCTTCCCTACTGGAGTCAGCTGGTGAGTCCTTTCTATTCCATTTAAAATGGAATAATGATTTCAAGCAACAAGTAATTTCTTCCCTTAACTATACTTTAAAACTTTCAGTAAGATGTAGCAAATGGTTCTATTCCGTTTTACTTTTATTTGTGTTAATAAAACTTCAGAAAAAAAATACAGAATCATATTTGGTCAGTTTTGAGTATGTATGAGGATGGCTACTTTTTTACAAGGGAACTCAAGTGGCTTCTTGATAGGGGTTGCACCGCCAACACAAAAGTATGAGAATTGAAACCTCTGCATGGGAGCACGATGGGTAATCTCCTCTGGTGTGATTAATGCCTCTGAAAACCCACAGGAGGGTAAGCTATGGATCAGTTCTGGCTCATTAGCACACAACAGCAAGAACAATAATTTCTTGCAATTGACCACTGTAGACAGTTTCATGAGGTAACTGAAGGCCAGGGCATCATTCTGGATAACATAGCAGAAGAAGAATAAGAAGATTGAATTGAATAAAAGACAGACAGTTCATATTAAACTAGACTCCCATTGGCTATATTTTTTTAAAAAAATCTACTATTGTTGACATTGAGAAAAATAGAGTACCAGAGCACTTTATTGTGCTCATGTGTAACTTATACCTAGAACAGAAGGCTGTTGTGTAATCAGAGCAGTGTAACACTGCATGGTTTAAAATTAAGAAGAGAGTACATCAGGGTTCTATTCTTTCTCCATAACTAATCTGTATGTTAAGCAAATTATTTGAGAAGCTCAACTCCATGAAGTGTAGTGTTATAGCAAGTTAGGAGGGAATCTATGAATGACCTGAGTTTGCAGATGACAGAACACTACTCACTGAAAGTGAGAAGAACTTTAAGCAGTTGTTGCAAAATATCAAGGAATACAACCTATGGTATGGACTGCATCCTAAGGCCAAGAAAACAAAGATTCTTACCATTGGACCAATAGGCAACATCATGCTAGATGGTGGGGACATTGAAATTGTCAACAGCTTCATCTTTTGGTTCCATAATTAACACTCTTGAAGTCAAGAAATAAGGAGACACATTGTACTGGGAAAATCTTCTTTTAGAGACCTCTTCAAATTACTGAGGAGTAATAATATAATTTTGAGGACTAAGGTGTGTCTGATTCAGGCCATAGATGTTCCAAGTACTTGCTATGTATCTGAGAGCTTGACAATGAAAAAGAACTGCAGAAGAAGAATTGATGCCTTTGAGATGTGATGTTGAAGGAGAGCACTGAAAATATCATGGACAGCCAAGAGATAAGTCTTGGAAATAGTGCAATAGGAGTGCTTTTTTGAGGCAAGAATGATGAGGCTTCATGGAGGGGCTATTTCTTGAAGAGGGAAATGAACTGGGCAGATTGGAGGGTCACCAAAGGAAAAGAAATCCTTGATGAGGTGGATTGACACAGTGACAGCCACAATGCTCTCTTGTGTGTCAGAAAGTGTGATGATGGCACTGTATAGAACAAGGTTCAGATGTTTTGTTCATGGGATCATTATGAGTAGTACTTGACTCAATAAGACCTAATAACCATAACAACTTACATATAAGTGCAGACACTCAGGAATTCTGCTGTGAAGGACCTCTCAAAGTGTTAAAGAGCAATGATATCAGTCTAGTGACTAACGTACAATTGGTTTAGGCCACATTTTTCTCAGTTACATGCTATGCATCAGAGAACTGGACAATAACTAAAAATGACAGAAGAATTGATTCCTTTAGTTGTGGTGCTCAAAAAGGGTATTGAAGATACTCTGGACTGCTAAGAGTAGAAACACTTGTGTCTGGAGAGAGTAAAACCAAGTTCTCCTCAGAGGCAAGGATATTGAAGCCCTGCTTCACATTCTTTGGGCACATGGCCAGGAGGAATCAGTTTTTATAGAAGATATGCTTGGAGGATGGAAGGAAAGCCCAGGGGAGGAAGACTACAGATGAGATGGATTGACGCTGTAACTGAGGCAATGGGATTAGATGTGTCATAGTCAGTGAGACTGGCCCATATACATTGTACATAGGGTTGGTTGGAGTTGTGGATGACCTAAGGGCACATAATAACAAAAACAACAATGTATAACAACAACATAAATATAAGTACCTCCAAGGTACTTAAAAGTAACTACATAAGTCTAAACACTAAGGCACACCTGAAACTTTTAAATTATTAGAAATGTATCTGGAAGTTAAACAATTCATAAAAATTATATGGAGTTATTGTGTTGGAAAAGAGTACTGCTGTCCCAAGGAATATAAAATATACAAAGAGATACGTTTTGTAGAAGGTGCAACCAAGTTGCTCTGTACAAGTAAGAAGAGTGAAACTTCCTCTCACATATCTTGGGCATGTTTTTTTAGGAAGGAACAATCCTTAGAGAAAGACATCATGCTTGGAAAGGTGGAGAGATGGTGAAGGAGAAGACTATCACTGAAATGGATTAGCACTGTGATGGTAACAAAGAGCTCATGTATAGAAGAGATGACGAGGAGGGCACAGGACAGGATAGGATTTAAATCTATTGTTCATAGGGTCACTATGAGTAGACGACTAGAAGGCACCTAACAACAACATACATGAAGAGGGTGCTCTAGTGGCCTCTATGATATTGAGTTGTGCTACCAACCCAAAGGAAAGCAGTTTGAATCTACCAATCTTGCTTCAAGGGAGAATAATGGATAGTCTACTCCCATGTGCTTTATTACCTTTGAAACTCACTAGAGGGTCAACTACATGTTGGTACTGATTTAAAGTGAGTAACAATAGCAATCACGGAAGAAAGGTGCTCTGATATAACCCAAAGATTGTGATTCTCTGGAAGCTCAAATTTACCAGGAACTCCTTGAGGAAAAAGAAACATTTCTCTCCCACTTGTGTACAGTCTTGGAAATCTACGGGAGGATCAATTATGAGTTGATTCTGACTCAGCAACAGTAAAAATAATTACATTTAAGGAAATGGCTATAATGTGAGATATTATTGAAAGAATCTTTGATTTTGCATGCTGATGTGAATCAAGAGCTTATGAAAATTATGGGAAAACACCATGTAAACCCAAGTTACATAAACCGTGCAGAGTGTGGAGTAAAAAGATACAGGAGTGTACGATTGGGAAATTGTTTTGACTTTCCACTTCATCTTCATACAATAAAATTTTCACAAGAGCCCTCATTGACAAATAAACCAGTATCCTCTTACCAGAATTTTTAAGTACAGCATCAATCTTTTGCTCAACTCCTGGAAAGTCCTCAGTTATTAATCTGGGGAAACCTTGATCCATGGACTGGCTATCCTCATCAAATCTGCACCAAAAGAAATACAGTTTAGTGTTTTGTGAATCCCCTATTATTTACCAGTTTAAAATAACATTAATGTCCCAGTGTGAAATCCTCAATAAACTTTTCAAGTGGTGTAAAGGACTACATTAAATGCAACTTTCCATGGCTTATTAAGTTGAGCATTTAAAGCCGTATTCTCCCTAAGTAATAAGTACTCTGCTATTGTAGAGGATTCAACCATGTGTTTGAAGTTTGTTTTTTAAGCCTGAATGTGTGAAACCTATTTGTAGCTCCTCCCTCTTGTTTTCTTTTCAGCCAAAAATATATGAATGCTGTTAGTTATGTGTTGGACTTTTAACTAAAATATCAAATCTACCAGAGCTCTACAGGAGAAAGACAGAAAATTTCAGAAACTTGATGAGTATTTATAAGTTATAAGTAATCAACTAATTGGCAAAAGAGTTTAGTTTTGGGTTTTCATAGGGGTCACATACAGAAAACAAATGAACTTATTTGGCAAAAAATAAACTCTTGATTCTCTACTGTACTGTACTGTTGTCTCTAAAACATATTCTATTTGGGGTTCCTTTACAACTTAAGGATAAGGAACTCTTCTGCCAATACAAAGGTATGCAGTTCAAATCCACCAGGTCCTCCATAAGAGAAAGATAGAAAACCTCCTCCTGCACAATTTCTTGCCTCTCAAAACTCACAAGATTAACTAGTGATCAATTTTAACTTGAAAGAACACAACAACCACAGCAATGGCAGTTACATGGTGTCTAGTAGAAAGAAAAGACAAATATGACTTTGACCAGAAGTCTGGATCTGAGTTAGTGTCTTCTGATATGTTTTGGTGATCAGTGATTAGCTTTTATGAGAACTTTCTGTTATATGTAGGATTTTGAAAAAAAAAAAAAAAAAGAAAATTTGAAGTTAGAAGAAATTTATGGATTTTTTTTTTATGGAAGAAAATAAATAGGTTTCCTACAAAGTCATTCCAATTTTGTATTACCTCCAGTATTTCTCCTTTATGAAAAAGTAGATTTTCCTGTTATCTTTATCAGAAACAGCTGCATCAATATTCTTGATGGATGGAGGAAAACCCAGTGTATAGATGCTTCTTGGATAACCGGCTTGTATCTCTCCGAGTTTCATGGCCCAGAACAGATTCCCTATTGACAAATAAATCCAAAACATTTTGAGGGAAGGCTTTTGATGTTAGAAATTATTTTAATGTGTTATCTTATTAAAGATGGATGCTTAGTTTTAATGTCAACCAAGAATCCAAATAGAAGATGATTAATAAGTATGCTTCGAATGAATGAATCAATGAATAAGAAGACTTTTATGCATTTTATCTATTATCCATAAATTATGATTATTAATCTTAGATCTTTCCTTCTAATTGCTGATGACACCTTAATCTGAATTTATAATAAAGATTTTTTTTAAGCTTGCATACCATTTTCCCTTGAATTTGTCATGGTCACCAAGTTAAATCTGTGTTGCCTCTGTAGAACCCACTGAAGCTTAGGTCAATTTGGATCATGTCCTCCCATTATTTTCTCTTTGTTTCTTCTCTTTTTCTTTTCCCACGTCTGAATCCTTTCCTTACATTTGTGGCCAACCAATCTAAAATGCCAGTCTATTGTATTTCTCTTGCTGTGACTATACTGGATGATTTGTGTTCATCTGAACAGTTCCAGAGAAAGTCTTACTTTTGAGCAATGAGTTCTTTTTGTGTTGAAGAACCAACTTCCCACTTCTTGCATGCTTTCTCCTTGGTACATGGAAAAGCATTTTTCTTTTAAGATTCATTTGAAACAAAAGCTCTTTTCAGGAGATCAATCTTTTCAGTATCAATCTTGATTCTCCTGGGTTTCCTTGGAGCTTAGATTCACTCAATCCCATCACTGCTAACCAAAATGCTGTGTATCCCCAGTTTCATTCCACCAGCATCTCTGAGGGAGAAAGATGCACAGTCTCCTCCATTATAATTTCTACCCTCAGAAACCCAAGGAAAGATTGCTTTCAGTTGGAATTGACTCAATGCCAGGAAATTAGTGCTGATGATGTCCTTTCTGCTTCCCCCCTAAACTATGAGTCCCCTTTAATCATGAACTCCACTGACTAGCACAGCATCTAGAGTACAGTAAAACTTCCCAGACAAATACTAACAGGCAGTAGCAATGATTTATAGTGATATAACTCTTTATAATTTATCATGAAATTTCATACCTTTCGTTTAATCCTAAGAAAGAGGAAATTAGGTCAGAAGTGAATACAAAAATTTAAATTCCTGTAGAGATGTGCATTAAAAATTCTTTAAATAACTAATCATCCCTTTTCAGCAGGAAGTAGCTAAGAGAATACGCCATC